TAGAAGTTAAGACTTGCTAAGATCTTTTGACCCCTGGAGGGGCCCAGTCTTGCAGGCTAAGATCTTTTGACCCCTCGAGGGGCCCAGCCTTAAAAGTTAAGACTTGCTAAGATCTTTTGAACCCTGGAGGGGCCAGCCTTGGAAGCTCAGATCTTTTGACGCCTGGAGGGGACACTGGTAGATGACAATGGCAATCAAAATGATATTAAGATAGTAAAAAGAAAAAAGGATGATACAACAAAATATGACAAATCATTGATTGACGCGCCTAGGTTCTTGAGAAAATGATGCGCGTCAATTTAACCAGATTTTGTCCTGCCTTGTTTTGCAAAAAGCATAAAGGAAAAATCTGGTCAAATTGACAGCGCGATTTTCAAAGATCGATTCATCAACTTTTAAAGACGCTCCGCACGGGAGCGCGATTTGGGTTAAGAGAGAACGATATGGAGCGAAACAATTTAGTATAGCCTGGGTATAGATTTTTTTCCTTAAAACGATGAAACATACGAAGAACGAAGCCAAAGAATCCTATACCCGCGCTATACTAAAACCACCCCCCAAGAACCTCACCCTTAAGAAGACATATCAGCAAAATTTTGAGGACGCCTCGAACGAAAACACGATTCTTTAAGACATCATCAAAAATTTGAAAATGATCCGCATGAAATCTATACCTGGGCTATACTAAAACAACACCTCAAAAACATCATCTTAAGAACATAAATCAACGATAAATTTATCAAAAAATCAACGAAATTTTGAGGACGTCTCGAGCGAGAGCGCGATTTTGAAAATGGCATCAAGATAACGAAAAGGAGGCCGAGGCTCAAAAAAAGTTAGACTGTCCGACGAAAGTGCGCAATTTTGATGCTTTCATAAGGTCAAAAAATCTTAAAACATCATCAAGGACGTCTCGAGCGAGAGCGCGATTTTGGATGATTTTAGTGAAAGCCGGGGGGTCGTCCAGTTCGTTTCGGGACCCCCCTACCAAGAGGAAAGTAAAGGCAAACCGACCTCCCAGACCCCTCTCAGACGCATCATCGTAAGATACTCCGAGATGAAGACGTCTCGAACGACAGCGCAATTCATCACTTCACATCGACGCGTCCAAAATGTTTGCGCGACGGAAGAGCACGCTGCGGGTGCCGGGCGACGCGCATCGAAATAATTAGAACGCCACACTAGATGTGGGGAACAAAATGCAAGCGTGCTGGCACACAAACTTTTTCATCGTTTTTGAATATGTTGGTCTGGCACGGTGAAGACAGTTTACCGGCACGGTGTCATGCAGCACGCTGCCTGGTATGGCTCCATGGGCATGTCCCCAATCACAAATCTCTCACACCGGAGCTTGATTGCAGTTGTGTATGTATGATTGTCTGGCGCTCCAGGAGTGCCAAGCAGCGTTGCATTTCGCTGCCAAATGCCGATCCAACAGCCAAGGTAAGATTCAAAGCCCAACCCACAAATTCGTGAATGGAGCAGTCCAGTTAGACCGGCCGTGCGCTTGCCGAATGCGTTTTCCTTGCCTGTGACCACCGGGGTTGCATGCTGTTTGGTGCATGTGGACCCATTGCACATGAGTACTCCATAACTGAGATTCGAAGCAAAGGAGCGACACCAGGAATGTCGCATTCCTACCTGGCCCTAACAGAGCTGGATGTCAGATGAAATCTACACCCGGAGCCGGCACCATGGCGTGCAGTTAAGACACGCGCGGAGTCGAAGGTTTCTGTGGCCACTAAGCAAGCAAGACAGCTTAGCTGTTGTGGTCGTCAGCTTTGAACTCAGCAAAAAATGTTATGAAAATCGTGTGCTTTCCTCAAAAAAGCAGCTGCTACGCCCCATGCGCTTCCTGCAAATTCTGTCGCTTGCTCCGGAAATGTTGAAGAGAACCCTTGAAGCCTTTGAAGTCGGATCTACATGGGTCCCGCCAGGCTCTGTTGGGACAAGAGCCATGCCAGAAAAGACACCAAATAGCTGAAAGCAACCATTGACATTTCTTCATCATGCATCGTGGATAACCTGCCCTTGAGGCAATTATCGTCTCACAGCGCTCAAGCAACACCCAGCCTGAGCCTGGAGATTCTGCGAGCCAGCACCAGGTCAAGACACAACTAAGCGGCACCTCCGGTCCGCAACACTGAATGCCATGCCGTGCTCGAGAAGCGCTGTGCGTACGGCACCCGCGCAGCACCCAGTCCGGTAAGCAAAATCGCTGCTATCCAGTACGCCAACTAACTTTGCCCAAGAGAACTCAAACAGCGCTTGGCCCAGCCGGCAGGGAGACTTCTGCAATCTAGCGCCCAAATCAACACCTTGCCCTTCGCCACTCAAAGAGGACGCGCAGTCCAGTTGGCAAAAACCTTCCACGATCCCTTATTCAAGTAGCGTCCGAACGACGCCGGGACAGGATCACAAGTAACTCGGCGATCCACATCCCGTCCAGATAGTGTTAGAATTTGGAAACTCGAAACCATTTTGCAACCAATCTGGACTGTGAACTTGAAACCCACTCACTGAGTGAGCATCCCACAAGCTGAAGCCATCTTGAGACCACCCTTTATAACCACTTCACTATAGAAAGCCTAGATCTCCTAGGTGTGGCCTCTTTGCAAGATATTTGAGGGGATGGAAACACCCTGCATCTTGCCTGAGCGCTTTGTCTCCGGGACCTGAGCGCAGGGATCGCAGGCCCAAATTCGGCTACAAGGTTCCAAGGTGATCCAAACCATTGAATTGCTTGTGTTGGGTTTCTCTGCATCAAAATCTCGCTCTCTGCCACTGACTTTGGAAGGTACGAAGGGGTACGTCATCAAGCTGAGAGGCTGCTTTCGCCACGCCAGTCACGTTTGAAACAACTAAAGTACTGACTGCTCACCACCCTCCACCAACGAGACTGCTTTGGACAGTGTGCCACCTGGTGTCCCAGGCAATGGGATGAACATCCTGAGACAATCCTGGCCCTTCCGCGAAACACCAGAGCTCAAGTGACTCAAGCCTCAATGGAACCAGTATCCTTTTTCATCTCAATCCAACGCCAAAGCCCGCTTCACCATCTTGGACTCCATCTGCAGGTGGGGAAGTGAAAAGCTAAATTGAATGCCAGCTCGCAGGCAAGGTGAGAAGATCATGGTGGTATGGCGGTGTCTGTTAAATTGCTTGAGAATATGAAGTAGAATCTGGACATGTGCTTGCAGGAAGACATATGTCGGCAAGATACGGCTGCACGCGAAGATGCGCCTGCGCCTGCGCCTGTACAGGTTGGATCAGAGATGAAGCCCTGAAGAAGAGCCCTACTGAGACCACTTTGGTAGTAAGAGGTTGTATCAGCAAGATTCTGTGTTTTTTTGTCTGGGGAACCCTTTCCCATGTGTGTATGGAGCCTTCTAGGTTGTACTTGTTATCTAGCAGTTAATGAAGCCGGATAGCCCATGTCGTGCTTGTGCATTCACTTACCTGTTTGTGCCACCTGGCAGAAACTGGTGTCGAACTGCAGGAAGAAGAGTAACTACAAAAGGAACATCTAGGGCACTGATGCAGCGTATGACTGAGGCATCTTGAGCGAGTGAGAATCAGGTGTCACTCGCCCAAATAGTATAGCAAGATACAACTAAACGCGGCATTTTGTGTGTGTGTGTGTGTTCATGCTTTGGGATTTTTGCTTCCGCTTGCTTAGGATGAACTGATAATGCTGCTCATGCCCCTCAAAATTCCTGGTGGTTGCTTATGCAAGCTTGTGCGAATTCGCTGTAACTATTCTCAGCTTGCATACCGCACGACATGTTGCAAGTAGACAGCTGCACAAAATTCGTTGCCTATGGTAATTGCTGTTGTGTCCAAGTTGTATAAAGGCATTGCACAAATCATGTTTTTCAAGTGCGCACTGGTGTAGATCGTAGATGACACACGCAGCCATGATCAAATCAGGATTTCTGTGCCTGCAAGCGGCACTGCATTTGAATCTAAACTCAACCTCGCCTTGTCATGTTTTCTTTACAAATGCATAGCAATAAGTACCGTCTGTGGCGATGGCTGCCCACTGCCACTCTTGTAATCATCAAGCTGTTATTCCGTGCTGGGCAGCAGAAGATATCCCAGCGGCACCCAAACTACTCTGACAGTTGCTAGGTTTGTTTTGCCGGTGCCTTTGATATCATAGAAAAAAACACGAAGGAAGTCTTGCTGGTACTGGTACTGAAAGCTCCTGTGCAACGTTTGTCGCCTTCAGTCTGCTGCGAGAAACCCCACCATGATGTTTTTGGCAGTTGTCCTTAATGACAGTCAGTTCGGAAATATGCACTTTGTAGGTAGAGAGGACAAAAATGAGTAGCGGAGAAGAGGATCGATTCTAAAATTCTACTGCTACTCTGAAGCCACTCCGTTTCCTAAAGCCCTCAGGCCAACAGATTGTTTTTGTCTTCTGCATCCCGTCCCACATCCCTGCAGCAACAGTACCCTTGTACAAAACGATGCCTATATAACTGACAAAGTCGAAGCAGTCAGAAACATAATAACTTTTGTATAAGTAGGAATTGTCATAGAAAGGGCCTGAACAAAGTCAAGGAGCTACTGCCACGATAGCTAGTAGCAGCTAAAAAAGGTGCAGTACAAGGCCAAAGCAAAACCTCTACCTCTCAAAGAAGACACTCACCTAACCCGCGACTGCCGATGCACCAGAGCCCAAGCTATCTTGGGCTGAAGGCCGTACTGATTGCTGTTGCTGATATAGGACTTGGAATTTTTCTGAAGGTCTGGGCTAAGGAACGAAGGAAGTGACGATACTAGCAAGTTCTTAACATCGTACACCCATTCCTTCATTCGCTCCATGTGCAACCTGCACAGCAACGAAGCAATCCGTCCACAACACCTCCAAATTCCAGAAAATTCAACTAAGGGCGGCCAGATTGACAGCATGGTGTGCCTGTCTCCAGCTTTGCAAGCAGGGGCGGTGTCAAACCCTGCGCCTGGGCAGCTGAAGGTTTTCAAGCTGGGCTTGGGATGTAGGATCGAGGTCTCAGCACCAAGGTGTATGGATTTCAGGATTGAAGGCTGTGTAAAAGGCTGTGAGATATGTTGAAAGCATTGGGGCTGCCGATAGTACAGCGGCTGCTGCCACTACCCACGCTAGCAGTCCGAGGGGTATCTCTCAAAACTAGTGTCTCTCTATGAGAGTATTTCTTTTGCTTCACACATCGTTCTCACGTCTCATTGGGCCTCTAAAGCCCCGTCATGCCCTTCTTCAGAAGATCTGAAGACTTCTAGCCCAACAGAGTAGATCTGCCACGTTTGATATAACAAAATTTTCAATGCAAAGACAGTAGCCCGGCCTTGGCAACGTCTGCAGCCCGGAGCCCGGCAGAGTCACGGGCCTTGTGATGAACTAGATGTCTCCCTTTGCTGTACAAATCCTCTAAGGTGTCCGAGCTTTACCCCAAAATATCTGAACAGCCCCACTCATGAAAGGAAGGCAGCATATTCCCAAGCAGCTTAAATTGAAGATCAAAGAGGGGGTACCCACTGTCAGGCTGCAGAAGTCTTCTACTGCAGGAGTCACAGAAAAAACGGAAAGAGTGTGCAGAGGTCAGCAAGGTGAGTTACAACCCAGCAATGGAGAAGATCATGCTGTTGGACTGTCTTCACCAACTAAGGACTGCTGTCTGTTCTGCAGCGTTTGGATCCCTCAGTGATTTAAGTAGCATTTGGACTGCGCTAGAGATGATGTAGAGATTATATCGGATCATTATGGACACCAGGAAGGTTGAGAAAGGAATGTGAGGTTTCGGTACGAATCTTCAAGGAACATGAAGAACAGATTTTGATTCTGCCATGTATGGATCGGTCACTACGGCGGATAGGCCCTCAAGGATTGCACAGCAACATTCCAAATATTGGCAACAGTGCTTAGCATCATAAGGCTTCTCGAAAAATGATCCTAATTCCATCACGTTTGCGTTTCACCCCTAGGTTGCATTAGGGGAACCTGGCACTGCCAAACCTCCACCATAAACCACAAGAACACCACATCTGAAATCAAATTGATCAACTGTAACCCCTCAATCCTCACATCTTCAGCCCTGATCCAAAACTGTAATCTCTTTTCTCTCTCACACCCTTCCCAGGCCTGACGAAGTGAGGGCGAGGCCTCCCAACTCTTTTTTCAGGGAAGATCTAAAGCGTACTGGAGTTACACTGAATGTCCAAAGCTTTTGGATTGCCTTCAATGGGGTTCCAACTTTTGTTGTTTTCCAGGTGTGGGTGCGGAATACTTGTGAGTTTGGAGTTTTCGTTGGCGGTTTAGCAGGCTTGTGGGCCCATAGGTTCGTTGGGGCTGGGATTTTGTTTTCAAGCTTTGGCCTTCAGGGGTTTCAGGTGTGGGGTATTGTGGGGTCATTTGGCACAATAGTGTTCAATGCCCCGTCTTTGGGCCTTAAATGTGTCAGGTTGAGGCTTGTGGTATGCCCTCCTGATCGGTTGGGGATCCGCTTGCGTGTTCACAATTAGCGGTTACAGGGAATGAGTGGCAAAGCACTCCTTTAGATAGGTTTGCTTGCGACTAGGGTTTCATCGTTCGCTTGGAACGGCTCAGTGTGAAAGGCAGTTGTGCGGGAAGTGCGGTACCAGGTTAGTTGACGCTATTGGCATACATGTTTCAACCTTTGGGTTCAAGAGAGACGAGGTGTCAGGGACTCACCATTAGGTTCCTGGATTCTGGTGGCCTTCCAAAAGCGAGTCAGCATGTGCTTTTCGCGTTCCTGGGACCAATTCTGTTTGCGCCAAGTAACCTTTGTGGCTGCCTTTTCCTGACGTCTCACAATGTCACTACTTGCAGGGGCAAGCTCCCGGGCTCAAATCTGTTTTCTTTCGGTGTAGTGTAACTGTAGGTCGCCCAAAGTGGCGTTAATGCTATGGCGATGGATGTTTCACGCTGCAATCATGATAGCGATGACGAGGAAGACGCATCCACAAACGACGAAGACGGTGACCAACATTTCTGGAATGAACACAGTGAGGCTATGCAAGAATGCGCCAATGCCCTTTACACATGTTCTCCCACTATCCAGACAATCCAGACAAAGAATAGGTCGTACGAGCAGAGCTTGTGGAATTCGGGCTCTGTATGGTTAGACAGGCCTTCGAGACTGCAGTTTGTGTCAACAACAAATCAGTGTCAGCACGACTGTCATACATACGACCATATATGTCGGACGCAGCAGACAATGGGGGAGAACTCTGCGCAGGATCCGAAGCGTGCAGACGAGGACGGGGTCCGAGGGCTCCGGCGGGTGGTCGGGCTGCTGCTACATAACTGGTGCCACGGACTCAGCGAAAACGATTCCTCCTATCTGTTGCAGCAATGTGGCCTGCATACCACCACCCCGTCAGGAGATACCTGTCCTATTTGGGCAACACTTGCGAGAAGGCTGTGAGGGCATCTCAATCCCCTCCGACATCAGCTGCCTACTGGAGGCATTGACCACACGGGTGCTTGAGAACCGCGGGCGCCTGGAAATCACACTGGTGGGAGTCAGGCTTCTTGGGCATGGTCAATGCACAAAATGGGCACAGGCCCTCGCGCAGTCCCACGTGGACAGCTGCAAGCCCTAGGAAGGGGTTCACGGCTTCGCAATGCTGGCGAGGCATGCTCCTCATGGGAAAATCTGGCCAGACGGCGATCGAGGCAATGAAGCTCAACAAAGCGACAGCTCAAGGTACAACATCAGACCTGTCTCGGATCATTGTGGACTGAAGACACCTCTCCCCCACAGCCCGCCGACTGAGCAGCCTCACAGTCTCGACGGAATTCAAAATCCCATACTGGTGTTTTAGAGAATCAGGATGGCACGCAACCTACAGACCTGTTTCGCACGGCTATGGCTTTGTGAGGATGACAAATACTGGACGAGACTGCGTTGCATGCAATCCTGCCCAACATGTAGCCACAATCATGTCCATGTGATTGCCTGTCTTATCCCTGCAGGTATTGCTGGCCTACAGAAGGTTGAGCTGTTCAGGGTAGAAACTGACTCCTCAGGCCGAAGGTCACCTCGCCCGCCTCACGTACGCTACTCGAGACCCATGGGAACCAGTCCCTGAGCTAGAGCACGGCCGGCGCGTTGACCCACGGAGAACTCCTGAGAGGTCAAATACATTGCTCTCGACATGCTGGCTATGTGAACATGTCCCTGCCTGTCGGGTGACCTCCTCTCTTTGGGTGTACCTGTCCACCCACTTGCAGTAGGTCCTTTCCAAAACTGGCCTGCAAGGCGCCCCTGGAGGCGAGGCATCAGCATAACTCTATTTTACGTCTCTCAGGGGTGTGAACAGCTCCCAAGGAGTCTGGCAGCACGAGCTCAGGCTGATGGCAAGCGTCTCCATGCGGCTGAGTCGGCTTCTTTGCGTTTCCCACCTTGGTGTGCATCTCCCCATCCTGGCTATTCAGGTGTTGCTGTCTGCTCTGGGGAGGCGGTACTGGCAATCTGGTGGTATGGGGTAAATGATGGAGAGCGCCGTGGGCGCTGCAAGAAACCGGACTGAGGCTACCTCGCCGGGGACTGGCGCACAGTCCGTTGACCTCAATGTGGACCTCATGACAGAGAATGAGCGCTGCGCCTGGACTGCCTGTAGTCGCATACACAATTTTGAGAATGCAAGGCAGGAAAAGGCTGATCAGAGAGCAAAGCTGTCGAACTACCCACGGCCCACACATGTCACGCTGCACCTCCCCGTGGGAACCCGAGACAACCTGTACATGCAGTGGCAATGTGGTACATGCAGTGGCAATGTGGCACTAGTGCAGATTCCATGCTCTTATCTGCGCATGGCACTTGCTCAGCACCAAACGTCACCAGCGTGCAGCGCCCTCATGTCTGGATTGAGGCCACCTCGCCGGACAGGGACTTAGGGCTCGGCGCAGGACAGGTCACAGGAACAGGCGTTGCAACTCATGCCATAAAGATTGCTGGGTTCTCTGAGCATCTTACAATACAGTGTCACCCCACCACACCAACAAAGTCTGGATCTACCGCAAGTTGCCAATGAGAAGATCACCCACCGCGCCAAACTAAGAGAGGCCTGAACCCTGGTTAAGTGCTCGCTGGGTCTAGTCACACAGCCCCACTCCGGACAGGCTTCACGCTCTTCATCATAACAGTGCAGCACGCTCGGGAATGGGCTGAGGCAACCTCACCAGACAGTGAACAAGGGCTCAGTGGGAAACCTGACCAGGATGTCAGCAGCGCGACCGGCAACATCAGGACTGTCCCGGGAAATTGCCTGTGAGTTCTGCGGTCAGTACTTTGCCACCCGTGCCGCTCTGCTCATCCACGTGGCTAAGGAGCACGCTGAGGCAGTCAGGCCCGGCAAGCGACCACCGATCCAAAGACAAACTACCAACCCGCAGTTACTGCTTGCGTGAGTTCACACGATGGGGCGGCCTTAAACAGCACATCGCTAAACGACGCTGCCCAGCCCTTGAAGCCATCGATGCGTTACCTAAACCTACCCCAGTGACGGATGCGACCGCTGAACAGGAGGACCCAGTGGTAACCTTGAACCAAGTCCCAGAACTTGGCTGTCTCGCAGCTGTGGCAGCAAAGACCGAGCAGTGTGCTGAGGTCCCGCCCCGCAGGGTGGCCCCACTATTCTGAGAGAACCAAGGTGAGGCGCATGCTTGCGCATAAAGGGACAAATGCAGCTTTTGCCCTGCCCGAGAGACAGCTGCTCACACAACAATGCGGAATTTGCTCACACTGGGTTGCGTCTCACAAGGCCGTGAAGACCCCTTGGCAGAAAAGCCACGCTGCGGAATGTTCCTGACATGCTAAGGCTGCTGCCCAGCTTTCTCGAAAGTTCTGTAGTGGAGGTAGCCCCTGTACCTTCTGCGGGAACACAGTTTGTGCGTCGAGGCCTCACAAACGCAAGTGCACGTCTTTATGGCAGATGCTCATGCTTCACCTGCTCCAGCAAGGTGACGCATCCAACGCACATGGAGACGGAGACGAAAGAAGACCCGGCCTCTCAGACGGAGATCTTCGGACCACTGGCAGCCAAGCACGCGAACCTGTTCCTAGCAGGCAGCCGGCAGGGTTCGAGGCCACCTCACGCTGCCCCTGCCCACCCGGCGGAACGGGCTCCGAAGGCTCAGCAAAGGGGCCACAAAAAAAGGCAAAAGCTCCCAATTGGAGACGCAAGACGATCTCCTCAGATCCCTGGCGAAATTGGCATTGCGGCAGGAGGGGAGCCTACAGGCACTCAGACAGAACACAGGATTTATCCTGTTTTTACGTCCAGGAGACAAGTCTCCACTCCCGTTGCTACTGGAGGCGGCCAACGAGTGGAAGACCAAAGCCGAAGCACACCGGATGGACATCCCATTGAGGCCACTCTCATCTGGACCCTCTTTCGGCTCCTGCTGAGCACCCTGCAGGCCAGGGCAGAACGAGGAGCACCAGACACAGCCGGTGCTGATGGGCTGGCTGAAATCGGGTGCAAGGTCGTACCAGAAGTGGGACAACACCTCTTGCCTGCTAGTCCCAGACACGGACAGAGAGCCGGTGAAGCACGAGGTGCTCACGCAGCAGCTCGAGAAACCCTCCCGGCCTTCCAGTACTCGAACGTCATCTCACGATTCAGTTGCACCCAACCCCTGGATCTGCAGGCCAGGAAGAGCACACCAGCAGCCTTCATCTTGGATGTATGCCTCAAGGGGCAAGGTACGGAAGAGGTCTGGCGCCTGTTGCAGACAGTTAATAGGTCATAGGCCTCCAGGTCAAGTCGGAGACTCCGAAGAGGAGCCCGCTAGCAAAGCTTCTCTGACACTCGAGTGCAAGCTCAGTAACCCCAGTAACCTGTGCTGCGCCAATGCCTTCGTCCTTGCATATGCGTGGTGTGTGCAACATGCCAACGTTACCCGAACAGTGGCGTATGGAGAGGCAGCCAAGCCTGGAGAGATGTCTTGCATTCCCAAGGAAAGGCCATCACGGAGATGCCCTCATGGAGGCCTTTGCTAAGGGGATGGAACGAGATACACCGCCAACATGACACCATCGATTTTTTGCATCATGTTTTGTGCAGAGCTGGCATTTGCCCCACAGTGGGAGAGTGGCAAGCTCGATATGTCACTGGTAGGCGGCCGGAAGCGGCCATTACCTGGGATCGAGGTGCCACAGCCTACTCCGTTGCTGTGCCTGTGCCTGAGCTGAGACAGGGACAGGACTTCCACACTGTGCAGCACGTGCTCATGATGTGGCACCGGCAAGCCTACATACATGCCCTTACGTCCCCCCCACGTATCTTGATGCTGATGCTGACTAGTGCACCATGGGCACAACATTCGCTCAGGCCATTATACTTCGGCACTTCTGGACTCAGAAGGCAGGACTTGGCTCACAGACGATGACAACGCTGCAGTGCGTAGAGGTGAACTTAGTGCACACACTCATTGGGAACAGTTCGTACTTCTGTGTGGCATGCTCTAGAGCACCACCACGCCTCTGCAACGAAACCGGCTGATGGGCAAAGCTTGTACAGGACCTTTGTGAAAGCAGCTTTGGGACCCAGCAGCTGCCAAAACCAGACTGCAGGGGAGAGGACGGCGCATTAAACTTTGCACCCAGACATTGAACCACGGGGTGACCACGAGTCAAACGATGCGTGAGCGACCTTGTCTACCATGTCTGCCTCACGTCACCGCGGTCAGTCAAGACCTGAGCGCGCACAAACACGTACTCAACTGCGTGATTAATGGCTCAGACACCTGCCAGTGCCTGCCCGCCCGACTTCCCGGGCACGAGTGTGCGCTTGGCGCACAAATCGTGTGCGGGAACAGGGTTGAATGAGCAGTACACCCTGTCTGGTATTATTGTACATACTCTTGATTAACATTAGGTCTACCGACTGTACATTGAAAGAGGGCATGAGGCCACCCCACCCTTGCTTGCTCGGTCACTCGCTGTAAACCTGCTCCCACCTTTGGGGTGGGACACTGTGCCAACAACTTTCGGTCATTCGTGACATGTTGTGGGACGCCACAAGTGCGTTGTGTCCTCCATGGAGGATACCAGTATACACCTGCCAGTAGGTCGCTAGGTGATTACTCACCGCGTTCGAAAGAAACTGGCAGGGGCGCCAACAAATAAACATACATACACAGAAAAAGGGACAAATAAGCACTCAAACGGACAGACAAGAATTTGACTTTCACACAAGCAAACAAATTTTGCAGGGAACAGCACCACACATGATATGGGAGCCACTTCAAACCTACTGCTACCTGGATTTACATAAAGACTTGTAAGCAGCATGTGCAGTCTCAATGCGAAGGGAATGTCTGCAGGTCAAGCTTCCAATTGCGCATGAAGCCGCATGAACTCTTGCAATGTGGCAACCAACTCTGCAAGGCAACCGCTACATCGTCTGATCTTTTCCTTCTCGTAGCTAACCTAGCTTCCGACTCACCAACCATAAGAACCATATCCTCTGCATTGTAAGACCGCGCTAGCTCTCCGCTGTTGAATTCCCAAATCTTCTTGTTCGACCGTACCTGAAACAAGGCCCACGCGAACAGAGCAGCTTTACGTAGGCAAGCAGCTGCATAAGTTCACGGTACCCATTTTGAAGGACAACATTGCTGGCTAACATAGACAATTGGGTACCAAAGCACTCAAAAATGCTTGGCATTAAGTCTCTAGTTTCGTGGAGTGGCATGGCAGGCACTCCTGGAATGGTCACGTGAAGGCACCATGGTTAGCTAGGGCCTCTCGTGTGCCTGCCTGCTTGTATCGGATTCTGGAACCTGCAAGTATGAATTTCTCAAATCATGGGTCCTTTCGTTGAAGTATTTCTGCCAGTGCTACATCATCTAGAGGCTTGCAAAAACGTGCTCGAACTCACAAATACCCAGGCTTCAGAAAAGCTTTTGGGACTGGTGCTGTGCATTCTTAATCCCCAGGACCACATAGCTTTAGATCCTATAGGCTAAACCTTTGAACTCCTTTTTTTTCAAAACTAGCTTTAAGGTCCCCGCCTTTGCAGACAGCCAGTGAAGCACATCTGATAGACCTTGGCGGACATAGAAGAATGATTAAACTAAATGGGAGTCGAGTTCTCGTACTCAGGCCAAAAATTGATAATAACTCGTCTGCTAACAAAGAAGTTGTCAGGTTGAGTAGGGCTAGGAAACGGACCCCGAGTCACTGAGTTTCACAAGTCATCACATTGGCTTCTGGAGGTCCGGGCTCCCGAGAATCAAAGCACCTAATATAATGTCCTCCCCACAAAAATCACCCCTCACCCATAATAATACATAACCCCAAATGTAATGATTACCATCATATTTACGGAGAACCGTATGCGGCTTATTATTTGGGAAACGGGATCGCTCACGAGCCCTCTGTAAACTCACCAAGGTACTACAATTGAACCCAGTCTGATATGGTATCAGCAACAAATCACTGCAAGCTTCGAGACCTTCCGATGGAGCCTGCTTTGAGAATTTTCCCTGAGTCACAAGAACTTCAAACCTAGACATCCCCATCCAGAATCCCAAACACGGGACCCATCATCGTAGCGCTTCAGGCAACTCTCCTTTAGAAAAAGATTTGCAACTTCTTCAAACTCTTTTCCTTTTTTACAGAGCTCTGTAATCATGCGAAAATTGACAGGTGGCTGTTTTGCTCACTTACATTCATGCCGGACATCACTGCTTTATGTCAAGAGAGAAAGGCGGCGGCAGCTGCTGACTTGTGCAACTCTGAAAACCCTGGCTTACAGTGCTTTCAGATGGCAACCCCGTGGCTGTAAACCTGCAAATTTCCATGAGGTGTTCAGGGTTGTCAGGCCCCATGAATGCATGAAGGTGGAGGAACTGGAGTGTAGGGCCTTGAGCTCAGCGTGAGATTTCGCAGAACAGTATGAGCTTCGGAAGGTGGTAAGAACATGGGCGCAGGCATCAGCCAGCAGTTGCCGTTACCCTTTGCAACATCCTTTACGCTAATGGCGAAATATTGATTGTAGCTCTTTGAAGTCGCTCGTTTGACTTGCCTGCCGGGGCTGATATCGCTTCATGATCGTCGAGAACTTTGGTACAATCACATTAGGAGTCTTGCGCTTCTCCTGGAAAATATCTGTATGGAACCCTGACAAATGGTCATCTCTTGTTCCCAGGCCACGGATTGGAAAGCCACATGAAACTCAGTTCGAGCGCGTCACAACCCAAGAGGGAAAAAGTGGGTATAGGGTTTAGGTGTCAGCCTTAGCCGGAACCAAAATGGTGAAGCTGAGTCCTCAGTCGTTGATCCCCAAACACTTGAGCCCAGAATCCACAACTCGGAAAGCCATAGGAACCTTGGGCTAGCCTTTTCCCCCTAAAGGTGGAAATAGTAGTTTCCATTGCATTTTCCAGTCTCCCTCAATAACCCCTACATATTCCTGTATACCGCGCTGCACCGTAACCCCTTTAAAAGGCCGCTGACAATGCTCATGTATAAGCTTCCGGGAACACCTGGGTTTAGGCTTTGGGCGATAATTCAAATCGTCTATTGTCAAAACTTTCTCCATCCCTGGCTTATCAGAAAGAGATAGTTGATGCCTCACACTAAGGCCCTTAAACCAGACCCTATATGCACACTCACCGCTATTCCTCACAAGCCCTCAACCTTAGACCGCATGTACCTCTAGGTAATGCGCAAAAGGGATCTAGGGACCAGAGTGGATGCGCTCAACCACTGTAGGGGCCTAAATGATTTCCAATATGATTTTGAGGTCTATTTTCAGCTACCCTTTACTAGAATCATGCAAGGAAACTCAGGACTCAGGACCATGCTGTTGGCAGTTCTTTACGCCCTTACAGCATGCACGCAACGTCTTCGATGCATTCCATGGCACCGGCTTTTGCTGCGAGGTGGAGTGCAGATTGACCTGGCATTCATAAGGATTTTAGAAGTTGCGCTGGGGTGCATAGGGGGTGGCCAATTTGGGACATTTCCATATGCCCCTAACGCTGAGCAGAGGCAGGAAGGGTTTGCATGGGACGGGAGCAAGAGAAGATTTATGGGGAATTCCCCTCCGCCGTGGCCGAAAGGCACTGACGAATTCTCGCGGAGACCCGTCCCACCCCCAACCTGACAAATATGGGGGATTTAGGGGCAATATAGAGATACTGGAAAAGACAATGGAAACTGCTGCATTATTGGGTATGTGGGTGGTTGGCAAAATTATGGTCCGTTTTTGGGTGCCCTACACATAAGGTGCCGTATTATAATAGGAATTCAAAAAGGGACCATAATTTTGACAACCGTTGTTAGTAGGAAATATGGAAATATAATCCATGCACTTGGGAAGTCGGGTCATTTTGGCTCTTAAATTTAAAAAGACTTGAAAAATGGGCCAACACTTACCATGATCTCCATTCTAGGGACCGTATCATCGCGAGAAATACCTGTTACTTTCTTGAACTAACAGATCTCTGAGGGTGGGCACCGACACGTGGGTATAGGTTTAAGCGGTATACGTAAAAAGCGATTGGTATAAAGGTTGTGGACTGTAAACGGTTACGGAGGCATCTTCATTTTGTGGTTCGTGAATTTCTTATGAGTGTCCTGTGGAAGAGTGTTGGAAGTGTGTCGAATGTGTATAGAAATCTATGAGTTTGTCTGGGAATTATGTAAGAGAGTATGGGGCTCCTTCCTAACAGTTGCCGTTCAGAGCATATGCCGTCTTGATGTGGGAGACTGTCTCTACACCGTCAGGCTCAAATACATAGATTAAAGTTCATCAGGCAGTTGCCAACACCGTGGCTTCTTCTTGGGAAGCCGATTCTGTCAATACTTTGCCTACAGCATTTCGGGGGTTGAAGCAGCTTCCAAAGCAGATGCCACGAGCTCCACGATTTAAACAGCCACCCATCTGGACGGCAAGCAAGAAATCCAGGGAAGGAACTCCTGGTGGTGAGCCATCATCTCGCCAGGAAAAGAAGGCAAGCGTTCAGGGTTTAGGGGCCGGGCTGTAGTTCTTGCAGTCTTGGGTTGAGGCTCTGTTGCATATTCTGCTTCATGCCGTAGTGTCCCCACTTTGCCTATGAGCAAACATCCATAATAGCGCGTGTTACAGGTTATACGTAAGATATTACCTGCTTATAACCTGGGCTTTTCCATACCTATGCAGTGTTGCTGTGCTTCAGGCGCCTTCTCTGAGCCTTCCCAAGCACCCCCTCCCCAAAGATCCTCCGAAACAAGAGCCTGAAGTAGCCTCAATATTTCTCTTGGCACGCTATCATGAAACAAAGGCTTCTTAGTATAATTTGAATCTGGGCAGCGAGAAATTCCCACTGTAACCTAATCCCTGAACCGCTGGTGAAAACTTCCAGGTAAGATGGAAATCTGCCAATGATATACTTGTATAGCCTTTAAATCACTGCAACAAACCTGCTCCTCAAACAATACGACCATTTCATATTTATGGCCCCTTAAAAGCTCCATGTTGTTTAGGACCTGATTAGGACATCAAAGTCTTCTCTTGCGAGAGTAAGCGGTCAGTTTCCAGATACTTTTTCCTGAAGTTACATTATCTACCCGCCAAATGCGGGTATCAGTATCAAATCATGTTGAACAAGGAGCCCATGAATCTAAGAAGCCCCCGTATGCCGAAATCTGTGCATCTCAGCTGGGCCTTGGACAAAAGGGGGTACAGTCATTGAACCACATCGGGTCTGTGTGAGGCTATGGCTATGGGGGCACTATAGGAATCATCCTTCTCATTGCTTTGGGATTGTTGTTCCCGTGCTGCAGCCCCAGTAGAATCCTGGTCCTGGCATGCCGTTCTTCTTCAAATACTCATCTCCTTATCTACATATCAGAGAATATTAACAGGAGCTCGCTGAAGAGCAAACTCCTTGCTACCCTGAGCCCTGGACCTCTGCTGTTTGTGAGGTTCACGTCCGCTTCGTAGCGGTGGAGCATCATGCACATGACCCTGGCTTCAGCATTGTTCGGGACTTGATTCGGCCTTTACGGGACACTGCTGGAAACCGCTCGAAAACATTTTTTCGTGTGCGGCCATTGCAAGAGCTACTCTTGCAACTTCAGTCAGAACTATCAAGCTGAGTGCTGAGAGTTCAGGGATTCGGCACCTAGCAGTTTGGCGGTTAGGGTTGAGGTATCTGTTGGGTTCTGATTTTTAGACGTGCACGCCGCATCAGGTTCAAAGTTCAAGGATTCAGCGCAGCTTGAGGATTCCAATTCAAGGATTTGGTCTGCTGCTGAAAGGCCTGTACACTGTCCTTTCACATGCGTGCAAAAGGCCGCTGTCAATGAGGTTGCTCCGAAGCGGCAATGTGTTTCTCAGCCTTGTCCTTTACTGCCCCCGTATGAGCAAGCTGAGCGTCTCTGCCACGTTGCAGAATGTCGTCTCCATGTGCTTCTCAAAGCTGTTGCTGAAGGGCTGCAAGATGAGTTGGATGTGGAACGGGCAGTTCAGCATAGGAAAGTCGGGAAATATGTGCCTGTCTGGAAGCAGCATTGGCTTCTGAAATGCAGCTGCCCGCGCGGACCCTGCAGGTGAGCCTGTACAGCCCGCTCGCCGACACCGAATCTCGGCGAACTTGGACAATCTAACTAGAAGCTTTATTCACTCACAGCATCTTGGCTCACATGCGGGGGCAGCAAAGAGGAGTGGAAGAACTGCAGGCTATACAGCATGGATCAAGCTTTGCAAGTAAGCTGTTGTACGCTGTCTGTGCGGGGTCCTCTCTCTGCACTCTGCGCATCTGAATATATGCATCTCTCCTTGCAGCCCTTCCAACCTTTGGGTCACTAACTTCATTTTACCAGCCGTCTGTAGGGAATTTTCGAGCTCGGTCCAAATACTCCAGCACAAATCACACTCACACTCGGCTCTAGAACAATGAGCTGCATTCAAAACAGGAACTCGCCAGCTCCATGTTTGAACTGGATATCAGAAGGATCTAGTATGTTGCGCAGCGACGACCACATTATCAACACCCTTGGCATGGCACTGTCGATGACAACATCGGCGATGACCACAGGTGTTGGTGTTACTGCGGCTCCTCCTCTTTCTCCTACTGCTCAATCTCTGCTCCGCTACTGCTACAACTACCGCTGCGGCTAATGCTACGGGAACTTCTACTTCTAGTGCCAGTAATAATGAAAATAGTGCTGCCAAACAATGCTTCTTTTTCGCTGTTCAGTCAGTGTAGTGATAATTTCGTGAACGCGAGCATGCTGCTAGTGATGCTGCCTCAGTTGAATGTGATTGGGCAAAACTTCTTGCGCAAATTACGGGGGAGGGAAATATGGATTTGAACATGTGTTGCTCAGCATCCGTATACCAAGACACAAGCTTTGAACGCAGGATTAATGCCCAGTACTTCCGAGTGCTTTTCTGATACCTCACCTCTGTCTTTTACCTTCAACACGCATGCCCTGACGTTCCTGAATCTTTGCAAGGAACTGCAAGCCCTGCATGATGCCATATCAAACCTCAGACTCCAAGATGGCAGCGCTCTTGTCACTACTCTGATGCTTACTTTGATAGCTTCTAGTGATTCTAATGAGCCCTCCCCCAAAAACCCTACAAACAACACAAGAACCCAAGAACCCGATTCTGAAGTTGAAGCCACTCTGTGACTGCCTCGTCGGTGCGAAAAACAGCGGCGTTTGGGCAAAGCGATCCGTGACATTGGGATTCCTCAGGAGGACTTGCAGGGGTTTCTTTGGTCTCTTTGGTCCTGAGCCCTGCGGATGTAAGGACTGTTTAACGGTGAGGGAGTACGAGGAAGGTGGGGGGTTTTGAAGGTTTTGGATGGTGAAAGAAAGTTTTCACCATGATATTGGGATGGGAAGGGCCCAGCAGTTTCTGCGATGGTCTTTGGGTTTTTCTCGCAGCTGGCATAAGGACCCTTCAGGAGGATTTAGGAAGTAATGGGTTGAAGGAGTCCCCTATAGGGTTTGGGGTAGGGCAATAGCACACGGCATTTCTTCCATGACAACACCCTCTGAATAGCAACATCACTTGGCTCAAAGTGGGCTGGAGAGGCGTTGTCATGACCTAGATCGCTTTTTGCTGCCATGTATCCTGGTTGCACCTGACAAAACTTAAGCTGGTGAGAAATGGAGTTTCACAGAACAAGTTCAGAACCCCTGAGATCACTCCTCCAATCCTAGGGTATTTGGACATGTTACAGGGTCTACCAATGAGGTACGTTGGGGTTCGTGTATCTGTGCCAAATCATGGGTCCCAAGGGTTGACGTAGCATGCGTACTGAGTGTTCAATCCCAAGCTGAATCTCAGTATTTCTCAAGATCAAGGTCTGCTTGTTTAGCCCAAAATGATAAAGGTCCTATCAGGAGCCAAAGAAAAACCAGAAAGTCTGAAGACAGTGCCATGAACCTGCGGAGCGGAAAGCCTAGCGCAATCCATCCTAATCCGACCCTAGCCACTACACAGCTGCTTGTTTTGCATATTGAGAGGCAGGCTCTCTCTCTCTCTCTCTCCCTCTCCCTCCCTCTCTCCCTCTCATTCTACATGTTTTCTAGATAGGCATGTAAACTTTTTTATGTGCGTTTGGTGTGCAGACTGGTGTGGGCTCCTCATTACTTGCGCTGATGACTGGTGAGATTTGTAGGACACTACCAGCATATCATTGTGGAGAACCCTCAGTCTCTCTGCACATGAACCTCCAAGCATACCTGCTGTGACCTGACGTTGCCGAAGTATTCCATCAAAATCCCTGCCGTACCTTTCCCACAGATCAAAAGACCGATAGCGAAATGCAAGCTTGCGGCGCATTTGCTTCCAGAAGTAGCTTGCTCACCTCCACCTGTAAGGGCTCAGGGATTGGCCCTCTGCAATGTATAGACTTCGGGGGGATATTTATACTCAGCTTACTAAGGATTATGTTGCACTTGGTATAGTTGGTGGCCTTCAGTTTTGCAGCGTCAAGAGTCTTCGTGTAACTTCGCCGTCTAGCCGTAACCCCCCTACTCTAGCTCCTCAGGCCCTTCGGAGGAAGGAGGCTGCCAACGCATGCCTGCCGTTTGAGAAAAACTGAAGCCCGGAAAGACATAATGCTTCTGAACACCGCTTTTCTAAAGACTGCTATTCCCGTGCCTGAACCATGCTTTCTTTTGCAAACAGTCCAGCACCTTGAAGAACTTGCGGGAGAAATCAAGAGTCATTCAAGCTTGAGGACGCTCTGACCATTTTTAAGAGAAGATACCTTTTTAAGCAAGATACCCTTTGTCTGAAGACGAAGTCTTAAGCCAACGCGTAATTCCATATAAAGAGGATTATGTAGATGGCATAGCATAGGCCCCAAAAAACAATGAGTTTTCTTGAGCCCTGGTGCTCGGAACTCGAAATACTCTAGCAGTTGCAAAAATGATCATCCCACGAAGAAGATTTAGACTGCTTTGTTTTTCAGACCCTAGGCAGCGTGCCTAAACTTGATTTTGTGTTGGATGAATGAAGCTATACAGAGTGCGTGGCTTTTGGGCCCCAAACAATGTTACTCTGATCAGCCGATCCCCCCCCGGCATCCCCGCCCGGGCGCGCCCCGAGCGGTTTAGGATTTCAGGGTTAGGGTTTAGGGTTTGGGGTTTAGGGTTTAAGGCTTTGGGATCATGAAAACTTCCCACTCCCCCGACATTGAATAATCCTTGTAATTGCATTTTAGCATGGGGAATCATTAATACTAGAGGGGTGGGGGGTTGTAATGTTCGGGAAGGGGATTAGGGTTTAAGGCCTTTAGGGGTTTAGGTTTCAAGGTCTCGGGGTTTAGGGTTTAGGATTGTTGGGTCTTGTCCTAAGGGCCTGAGTATCCAAATCCTACAGGAAACGAATTGTTTCTGAACCACCCCAGCATTTTGGTGCTCAACATGGAAAATGGGCCTGAAAGATCTGCCTCTGTGCCGGCTTCCCAAAAAGCCATTTCTAACAGGAAACGGGCCGTTTCTGGACCATCCCCCTTTTCACCAGCTTGGACTAACAGGGCGCAGCTTGGACTGATGGGAAAGATCCTTGGATTCATGGGGCGATGATATCTAAGTTCCGAACTCCTCACCAGCTTGGATTAATGGGGCGCAGCTTGGACCACTGCCTACGCAGCTTGGACTAACGGGGCCGCAGCTTGGACTAACGGGGCGATGATTTCTAAGTTCAGGACTCCTCACCAGCTTGGACTAATGGAGCGCAGCAATGACCCATGGGAACGCAGCTTTGACTAATGGGGCGATGCTATTTAAGTTCAGAACTCCTCGCCATCTTGGACAAATGGGGTGCAGCTTGGACTGATGGCAGCGCAGCTTGGACTAACGGGGCCGCAGCTTGGAC